GAAGACTGCAAGACAGTGGTCTCCCACAGGTTTGAGTGCTGGGAGTTGACAGGATTAGCAATCTTACTTGCAACTACACTCAGCACCTTTTAAAGGACACTAAGTTGGCTAACCTCACTTGCTAATTGCTTCTGGAAATTGCTCATTAACTACTTCTAAGCTATTAGAGACCTTTGGAACGACAAGTTTGAAAACGCTGGGGGAGTTTGCCTTCAATTCTGAATGAAAAAAAACCCTTTAATCATAAGCTTAAGAATTTAAAGAATGTGAAATAAACAGCAAAAAGCTAAATAATATTTTGATCTTAGAAAGTTATAAATGGACTAAGGATCCAGATAAATTTGGAATATTGAAACTTTTACAATAAGATTTTAATTCAAATAATTACGAAGAACAAACAACTTCTTGTGGGAAATAAATATGTTTTGGTTTTTGGAATACATAACAGAGATGAATAATTTCATGATTTAAAAACTGGACACTGGAGGGGACTAAAGATTTTAGGTAGAGGAAAAAAATACAAACCTACAAAATGCAAAACATTAAATCAGTGAAAATACTGAAGGAGACTTTTGAAGAATAGAGTCAGAAATTAGTAGCCACGATATCAACAATGTCAGTAATGATGTCTGCATTTTTGAACTATGTCCAAAAAATGTTATTGAAGAAATGACAGATGTAGACCAAATTTTATCTGACAAGATAGAGGTGGTATTGAAAGTGGATTTACAAGTGACAGGCCAAGAGAATGACTTGGAAAAGGATGTTTCAGTGGATCTACAAAAGAAATTGGCTGATGTTTTAAAATTCAAAAGGGAAGTACAAATGATAAACCAAGAGAGTGACCTGGACAATTTTTTCCTACTCGATTTACAAAAGAGGCTCATCAAAGCCTTAAAGAACTCTATGTGATGGGACAAAGAAGAAATGAAAAGAAATCAAATCCTATGACAATATTTGAATGGACTAAAGATTAAGGCTGTTAGAAGTAAAAGGAAGGAATATAAAGTTGGTTTATTTGATCAAGGTTAAAACAAAATATAATGTTACTTCTGGCAACCCTTTATGGACTTTCTACTGACACCAAGACTGAAAAGATTATGTTTTATGGATTTGTCTATAGATAAGGGATGGGATATAGGATGAAGAGATAATTGTAACCTTAGAGGGGGTGAAGAGTCACTAAATTTGTTTATTCTTCTTATGATGAAGGTTGGAAGTCACTTCTTTATATATTTCTTTTCTCTTTCCTTTTTATATTCTTACTTTTTTCTTTCTTTTCTCTTCTTTCTTTTTTCTTCCTTTTCTCTTTTCTCTTTTTCTTTTTCCTTGCACCTTTTACTTTTTCTTTCTAAGGCAGGCTTTCACCATAGTGGTCCTTACACTGAAGGACCTTACATGCTGTTAACCTCCTGCTTCTGGCCTTTAGAAAACTTAAAACTTTTCTTTTTCAGGTTGGTCAACTTTTGACAATGTTACTGCCTATTGAAGAGGGAGGGTGGCCTTCTGATTTTATTGCTTGCATTTCTCTTCTGCAAATATCAATCCATTTATTTTTATTCTCTGTTTTCAGTTTTCTTCAATCAGCTCATTACCAATCCATAAAAGGACATGATTGCTAAGACTGATCAAGAGTCTATGATGAAACACTTTGTCAAACACCTTTTAAGTTGGCTCTTTGGAAACATTTGAGTGCAGAAAAAGATAGAGATATGAAAAAGATGAGATACAAAACAATAATATGGCACAAGTCACTCCTCTGTATATCCTGAGATGAAAGGGGAAAGCAATACTGCCATGTAAGAGATTACTAAAAAGTTCATTACTTTATATCTCTTCAGCCATAGATGGTATTAGCAGAATGATACTTCAACCCATAGGCTAAATTTTGGGAGAAAAAGAAAGCTGACAAGTGGACATAATGATAAGTACTGAAAGTAAGATTAAGTGCAGAGATTATTTTGTCTTGAATCATTGGCACTCACCCTTGTTCTCACAGGCTCCCAGCAAGTTGATGATATTGGGATGATGTCCCAGCTTGCAAAGAACTTCCAGTTCTCCAGCAAAGTCCCGGTGGTCATTCTCAGAGGCAAATTCTGAAACATAGATGGGGATGCCAATTTTGTCATACTCAGGAAAGCTAGCTAGCATGAGGATTCCAACAGGGAACTTCTTCTGTTTAATGTGGTGGAAAACCTTCACATGTTCAATGGAAAAGATCCTCAGCTGACAGCCCCCAGCATCTTCAGGTGTAAAGATCATCTAAAAGTCATGAGCTATTTCTCCTGTCTCAGAGTCAGCAGAAAATATGCCTGCATAAATTGCACTACTCTGATGGTTCACCTCTGATCTTCCTCAGGAAAGAGACTTGTAAGTGGGACTGTCCTCACAGCTTTAACATAGGACAAGTTAAGGAAAAACTATTGGTGGATTTCCTGCCAGTAGAAAAAACATCCAGGAATTGCTGTTATATATAACATAGGCTAGGGTTGAGAGAGAAAGAAAATTCTAACCAGTAGGTTTGGTCATCTGTCAAGTCTTGATTGATGGGTGGGTGGAGGTATCCTAGTAAACCAAGAAAGGAACATTCTTGGTTTATTGGAAAGCCTCCTCATCCCAGTTTGAAGCCCCTCACATCTGTCAGGCAGGCTGACTGGCATTAGGGGTGGGAAGCTGACTCTTTCCCTGCCAGGTCATGGATCACATGGTTACATTTTGTGCAACTAGAGATCTGGCAGGGGAAAAACGCCACTTTTGCCACCCCCCTGCCACCCCTCTGAGCCCTGACAGCCTGCTAAACTTCAGCTTGGGCAGGAGAAATGGAGAGAGATGGCTTTTTACTTGCCAGGTCTCCAGTCCCACAGTTCCATGCTGTGAGACCAGAAATGTGGCAGATAGAGGGAAAGAGCCCAGTTTGAAAGAAACAGGCTCTTTCACTGACACATGCAGAATAGCTCTGCAAAATGTGCACTTTCTGGAGGGAAGTGGGTGTGCCTACAGCGGTCCAAACTGGCCAGTGAGAACTGGGCAGATACCAGCCCCTGACCACATGTGAGGCATTGAAGATCATTTGTACAGCAGGACTTTGGGAGAAGAGAGAAAATAAGATTTTAGTACCTTTGATTATAGCTAAAGATGAATTTAAGCTACCTCTGGGTTGGGCTGGGATGAGATGAGAGGAAATGCCATCAGAATATATCCTTCAAAAACAATTAGCAATGCATCTTTGTGTCATGGTTTGCAAGGTGTGAAGATGAGTCCACTCTGTGTCAGAACAGGCAGGATTGAGGCATATCAACATATCTGCTATCTGATTTGGCATAAAGCAGCTGCATATATTATCTTAGGACTAATTACATGATGCATACAATGCATATTATGTAAGATTCCTTTGGTATTTCTTTACCTGATGTAAAATTGAATCTAGATCATAATAGAGGGAGAGGATAACCTTATTCTTTCTCCAGCCCTTTGTTTATAAAAATTACACACATCCTACACTGGCATGCTTTTCTGTTTTTTTTTTGTTTTGTTTTTCAACTATGCTGTTTTCCAGGTAAAGTTAATCTAGAAGACCTCCTTCAAATGATCCATTTTATATATTGCATACTTTCTACCTTCTTTTTTTCAGCTCTGGAGGTTGGACTAGGATATTCCTTGGAGCGCTATGAAAATAGAAACGTTTTTGCAGTGTTAGTTACAAATCATTCTGAGTAACCATGACTTGCTGCATCTATGTATAGCATCCACATGTCTAAATTTTATGATGCAATATGTGAAATCAGCCGCAATGGAATGGTTTTCTAAGCTTCTCATTCTGTGAGAGCAAATGAATACTTTGCATCTGACTTCAAAGATATTTTCACACTGCTGTCAGCCTTTGAGGGAGGCCAGATCAGGAAACAGACACTTCCTAAACTACTGGAACTCTATTGTCATAGGGCAGTGTTTCTCAGCCCTGACAACCTTTAGATGTGTGGACTTCAACTCCCAGAATTCCCCAGCCACTGTTATAGGGTACTGTACAGTAATAGGATCTTGAAAGTCTGGGAGAGTTTCCCTCCCTCCCTCCCTCTTATACCAGAGATTGAGAAGGTGGTGGCAGTTCTCAGGTGGCAGAGCTTGGTTCCAAAAGGTTTAAGCTTTTGGAAAAGCCTGAAAGTTTGATCTGTCACTATCTAGCTGTCTTTCAGGAAGGCAGTAAACACTGTTTTATTCCACAGGGTCTTTGGAGAATAATAGGTGGTCAGCTTTTTAGGCACAGATACTGGAGGTTTTGCTGTTTATTCTTTTGTTCTGAGGGAATTTATTTTTAATAGTTTTATGGTGATTGTTCTGTTTTGTTTGTTTTATCTGTTACCTGTTTTTATAACTATTAAGCACCTTATGGAGGAGGACTGTATATAAAGATGGTAAATAAGTGAATGAATAATTAAGTAACTAAATAGTTCTCCAGTTTCCTGCATAGATTTGGATTTTGAGGAGAAGAATTGTTATGAAACTAGTTTAATCTAATTTAACTGTGTGATGCAAATGTATTCTAAATATCCATGATTTTATGGCCTGAGGATAATCCTTAATTTGTCCTCTGAGCAGAGGTGAAAGGAAAGGCTGGTGCATCTGTTATCTGCCGGAGGAGAATCTTGCACTGTGTAGGGAGAGTTTGTATTTATGTGTTGTAACAAATGTTATTAACATTTCTCCCCTCCCCCCAACTAAGAGGTCAGGGATCAGGAGTGGTGGGCTAATCATAGATCCATTCTGCCAGAGAGGGAAGCATGATGCTCTGGCATTAGCAGGTTTGGTCCAACAGTCCTAATAGACATCTCACCTTTCAGCATCTTGATGGCAGCATTCATTCTCAGGCCGTCTTTCTTGATCATGGCTCGGATTACTTGTCCAAAGTTCCCTTCCCCTATCATGTCCTCAAACTTGATGTCTTCCCACTCCAGGATGGGATAGCTGAGTGGCTCAGGCTGTGGTTTGGGCCGGCGTGTCAGTGTCAGGGTGCCCGAGTTGAATTGCAGAATAGTTTCTTCTCCCTGTGAGAGGATTTGTGGGGAGGATAGTTGTGGGTAACCCTGGGGACCAGACAGGTCAGCAGCATGGGGGCACAAGTACAAGAGTGAGGAGGCTGATGGAAGGGAGAAAGATCATTGGAGAAGTGCAGGTGAAGGGGCTGGGGACAACAGCACTTACCGAGCCAGACTGGTAGGTGAAGGTGCGGCGCCGATGAAAACAATTTTTCTTGATGAGGAAAAGAGCCAGGAGAGCAAACAATATGGTCAGGCAGGTAACAGAGACAGACCCCACAATGGCTAATACCAATTGCTGGTCCATGATTGATGGAGGCAAGTTTTTACTTTCCAGGGTGGGCACTTGGCTCAGGGCTCCTGTAGGACAAAAATAAAATGTCTGGCTCTGTGGTGCACACCCAGCAAATCTATATCTCAGTACAATAAAGATGGCATTTCTGCCATTTGTTCTTACTATTCTGCCTCCTGGATAAATTGGCCAAGATTATTGCCATTGCTGGCTTGGAGAATCCTGGCCACTACATGCTAGATGTATGTGGAACTTTCCCTGGCTTTTCCATGCCAATATTCTGCCCCTTCCATGATTTTTTCATTGGATCATCCAACCAAATAGGCTTTTGGCCCACTCACCATCGCCCAGGATTTCAGCTCTCACAGGCTGGCTCCACTCGCCCGGTACGTAAGAGTTGGCTCGCACCCGAAACTGGTAGATTGTGCTGGCATTAAGCCCTGTGATAATCTTTGTGGTATCCCTGCCATTCTCTGTGTCCATCCATTGTGGATCACTGCTGCCTCCCAGCTGCTGCACTTCTACAATGTATTTGTTGATGCCCCCATTAGAGTATTCAGGGGCTAGCCAGGACAGCCGGATGGTATTATCAGCGAGGGAGTTCACCGAGAGAGAGCGTGGTGATGAGGGTCCTGAGAGAGGAGGCAAACGGCACAGCTGTTAGCTCTGCAATTGTTCCTTTTGGCCTGGAATATATGCCATGCTGTGCCATAATGACCTAGGCACTTGGGGCCCTCTGATTAGGGCTTAGCATAAAAGGAACAGTCTGTTTCATTTAAGAATTTACTTTTGGGGTTGAATCTCCAATCCAGCAAATTTTCTTGCCATTTTTAAGCTTTACTAAAAATCTGTAGAACTATCTTCCAGATCAGATCCAAAGAAAGTACAGGAGCTATCTAAAGTGTCCAAGTTGGCTGAGATATGTCTTCTATCCTTTGACTTTTAAAGGCCCGGAGTGCTTCCAAGAGCTCTGGGCATTTTGCAATGTAGTGACTTGTTTCTCAGCAATTCCTGAAATGTCGAAGAGACCATGCCACATTCCTGCATGAATCTTCTACTCTTTGAGGAGCCAGAGCTGCTGTAGGTGCATTAGATACAGCATTTAAGTATGGAAAGTAAATGCAATCTCTGTCTGCTCTTATTACAGACTACTCTGGTAAAGAATACACACTAGCTGAACTTTGTTCTGGCTCACAATGATCCTATCATGGAACTGCTGGCAGTGAAATTCTTAAATCTCCTTGCTGCAGATTCTACACAGAATTATTTGAAATCTCTCCTTCTGAGCCAGGGGGCATCCTATTTAAGAGGGATTTGATCAGCAGGATTGTCATCATGCGGGAATATAATGAGCAGCTATAGGGAAATGCCCTATGATACCCTCAGCTTACCATGGCAACGCAGGAGATTCAAAGAAATCACTGTGCAACAAGAGGTCTCTTAGATTGTCTGTCTGTCTGTCTGTCTGTCTGTCTGTCTGTCTGTCTGTCTATCTATCTATCTATCTATCTATCTATCTATCTATCTATCTATCTATCTATCATCATCTATTTATCTCAATATGCAGTGGGAAGGAATTTGGGTTTTTTTAGGCCATCAGTCATGGCCAGTCAAAGCCTGGCAACTTTTAAAACCCTGATCTGCGACATAATAATTATTCTGCAAGGGATCATTTGGAAACAAACTATATTGAATGCTCCACTCCAGAACCATCTGTTTCATTTTGAAAGTGGCAGATTTCTTACCTTTACTGTTGATCTTGAATTTGTAGAGATCAGATGGTGGTCCCAAGCTGGTGCAGTGATAGACCATTACTTCTAGGCTATAGTCCTTCTTGAACTTGAGATTCGGAATATAGGCTGACTGCACAATCATGGAAGTGATGTTTTCCTGATGAACAAGCTCTTTGGCTGCGTCATAGAGCCGGACAAGGAACCCAGAACCCACATTGTCACTATTGGGCAAATTCCAGTTCACACGTAGATTGTTGCTCCCCTCAACAAATGAACCTCCAATTACAGGTTTGGCTGTTGGCTCTATATGAAATAGAGAAATATAAACCCATCAATCTGATTCAACAGCACAAGGGAGCAAGAAATTCTGTGTCTTCATCCTGAGCCATAGGTTTAGTATAGAATTTCCTTCTCAATGGTTTTTAATGCAGCACACAATTACACTTGCTACTTCTGCAATGTCAACAGTATATTAGTTCCAATAGAAGAGAATATATGTAGCTCAGGGTTGAACTGTAGCATCTTTGGTGCTCTCTGAGCTTGGTTGTTTGACTGCAGATAGTTCATTACCTGATAAGGTATCATCATCAGTGCTTATGAGTGTGGGGTTTACTCCCTATTTATATATAGTAGCTTGCCCTGCCAGTGTTGGTGGGGGTGTGGTTTCTCCTTGGTAGTTCCTTGATTAAGGTATTGTTTTCTGCTTGTTTTCTGCTTAATTGTTTGTCTCCTAGATAGTTCTTTGATTAGAGTATTGTTTTCTGCTTGATTGTCTGGTGTTAATCCCTACTTATCTGGATGTAAGCTGCAGGAGAGGATGTGTTCTGGTCTTTTTGTTTCCTTCTTAGCCTTCTTATTGTCTCTTTTGAATGGTGTGTAAATGTGGTTTATCTCTATGTGCCTATTGATGGCTGATGTATCTGAATTCCAGGAATTCCCTAGCATTTTTGGATTTAGCTTGGTCTAGGATGCTCAGAGTTTCCCAGTTGAAACTATAGTTGAGTCTGTCCAATTCCCTAGCATTTTTGGATTTAGCTTGGTCTAGGATGCTCAGAGTTTCCCAGTTGAAACTATAGTTGAGTCTGTCCATGTGCTGTGAAATTAAGAAGTTTTCATTGTGTCTTTTGATTGATAGTTGGTGTTCATTGATGCCCTCTGCTTCTGCCTGTCTGTCCTACGTAGTGGCTGTTACAGTCCTTACACTGTATGTTGTAAATGACTCCTGTTTTTTCTTCTTGGGCTACTGGGTGTTTTGGTTAAGATGTTTTAGAGGGCTTTAGTTGGTTTGTGTGCTACGGAGATGCCATGTGGTTGTAGTAGTCAGTTGTTTTTGAGATGCTGATGATGTATGGCAGTGTTATGCTTTTCATAGCTTTGTTGGTTGTGCTATAATGGGTTGAGTGGCCAGGCACTTTTTGATAAAGTTGCGTGGGTATCCATTTTGTTGGAAGATGTTGTATAGGTGGTCTGTTTCCTCTTTCTGGTGTTCTGGGTTGCTGCAGTGCATTTGTGCTTGTCATGTCAGGTAATGAAATGTCTGCAATCAAACAACTAAGCTCAGAGAGCACCAAGGATGTCACAGTATATTAGTTACTTCAAACTTCAGGAAGTCACTATCCTTACCCCAGAGATGGTCAGAGGCACCACCACTCAGTTGCAAGACATTTTCTTTCCCAGCAATCAGAGAAGGTAATGCTAGCTGAGAAGAGAGGTGAGCAAGTTCTCCTTGTATAAAGTGAAAGGGCCATATTAAAGAAGTGTCTTCCTCTCCTGTTCCTTTCACTAATACTGAGGCTGACATCTCCTCTGCCTCTGCCTCAAAATATAATGTTCTGTAGATACAACTGGATACAAGCAGAAATTCATTCCCCAACCTGAAGATGGGGAATTCTGAAGGTAACAGCATTGGAGCAATTAGCCAGTGTCTACCTTTATGTTATAGGCATTTGTTAATTGCTCCTTTTCTGCTACCGTTCTCCTCTGAGTTGTGATTTTAATGACACATTCATAGAATTTTCTTGGTAATAATGTGGAACTGGTTTGCTTTTAACTTCTTCCAGATTTTTTTAATTTCTCAGGCTATCCTACAGCCCCAATATTTTCCATCAAAAATATCCTGTTAAGCTTTTCAAAATTAGCCAACTTGGCTAGGTGTTGCCAAACTGAAAATGCTGATATGTTATAGACATATATTAAAAAATAAGGGTTAAAGCAAATTCAGAGAGCTTGGATCTAAGTTAAGGAAAAAGTATTCCTTCTAAGTTGAACACTATATAGAATATAGTGTAGAATTGTGCTATTGTTGTTGTCGTTATTACTCTTGTTGTCATGGAAAACATCTGGGACTGACATGTAAACCTCTTTCCACGACTGGAAGAAGCCAAATAATGTGCATAAGTGGTAAATAATAAATATTCTTTTATTTCTTGATGCTCAAGTCAGGATGATATGATTTTGATGTTTTTTACACACGTATAAAAGCATAAAGTATATCCGGTCTTGGATTTATCATCTCCAGCTGGAAAGGATGACTGAACAAGACTCATATCCTGATTGGTTCCAAGCCAGAATAAATATATCCTTTTTTTCCTTCACAACCTGTGCATGACTGCTCCTAAGAACAAGCTGTAGGACATGTAAAATAAAATCTACACCCATTAGTACAATGGACTTTTTCTCTCTGTCCCATGTTCCCTCTTTGCTTTCTCTTTAGTCATATTTCTTCTCCCTCTCCCCCCTCAAACTGCAGATCTGACTAACAAACATTAAGCACTCACCTTTGCAATCCGTTACCATGATAGCACTGGGGCCAGCAGCACCTTCTCCTCCCTCTCCAGGGCGTGTTAGCTGAACCTTAACAATGTAGGCTGTGACAGGTCGCAGGTTCATGAGAGTGATGTTCTGGGCGTTATCAACTGCTGATCAGAGTAGAAGCTGTTAATTCAAGGGACTCATATCATGGTCTTGCTTTACCTATTCTATTACAGAAAGCTCAATGGGCAGGACTCTGAAACTGAGATCCACAGCTCTCTGCTCTGGTTAACATTAATCCCTTTTCTGTTACTATCTATTGCAAGGAAACCCAAGATTTTATGTTTAGCAACTTTCTCCTTTGAACTGACATGAGACTATTTGTATGTTTGAACTTCATGGTGAAATAGAAAACTGAGATGCTACCCTTTACTGAAGATTCCTTTCTTCATTATAAGCATTCTATGAATACAAGGCCAGAAGCAAAAACAAAAACAAAACCCCCAAAACAAACAAACAAACAAAAAGCATAAACATGTCCATAAGGGAATTGAACATCTCTTTAATTGGAATAAGGAAAGATGAATAACAGAATGTAAGGGTTGGAAAGGATCTTGGAGTCCCAGCCAACATATCCAGGTACAACAAATTCCTTACCTTCAATAGATGACCAACTACTGCCAGTTTGGGGCTTATACAGAACTTTGATGCAGATGAGGGGTCCATCACCTGCAACAGGCCCCACAGGGGATATCACCAGCTGCCGGCTCTTCTTGGCCAAAAGTCTGGGAGGGCTTAATGGCACTGGAGGCACTAAAGAAGGGAACAGTTGGAGAATTCATCACAAATGAACACAAAAGGGGAAGAGTATGCAGATTTTATTTCTTGCTTTGATGGGAAAATGACTTGACCAAAAATGGTCTAGATCAGTAATTTCTCAAATCACTGTTCCCTGAACTGTACTTGGCACAATCCTCTTCATGCATCCTGACCCTGATTAAAGTTCCAATAATAATTTCCTTTGTTTGAGAATTAATACTACAGTAAAAGTAGTAGCCTTTCCCTAATAACCATACCTTGCCTGGGTAAGTGTTGGTGGATAGAAGCTAGAGATAGAATTTCCTCCTAAACAGAGAACAATCTGAATAGGGCAAAACCTTAGAAACTCTGGAAACATTTCAGTAACTTCTCTGCATCTCAGAAGCAGAGGGTGAGCTCTAACTGTGATGTGTCACTACCTGTGCTGCCTTCTTACTTTTTATAGTAACTTTGAACTTGCCACTATCTTGTCCCCCAGTAGTAGAGACACGGCATTCCCAGAGGCCAGAGTCAGAAGAGATCACTTGTGACACTTGAAATTCACAGGTTGTCATGTCCTTTTCCATGATGGCTTTTGTGGGCTAAGGAAAGACAAAAACACCATCATATCCTGCCAAAATCTGCTAACAGACATTTGTGAAAAAACAACCATATTGTTGAAGCTCCATTCAAACATAGGGCATCCTGAATATCAATATAGAAAAATAATACAGTAGAAACTAGATACACTCTTGGAAATTGATCATCTGGTCTAATTTTCACTCTAGGAGTTCATGAACTCATTTGGAATTATATGGGGCCTCCAGAATTTGCAGTTTTTGCAATTCATGACAGTTATGACCATGGGTGGGAGAAGGGGGGTGCTACTGTGCATGCTAGAGAACAGGAGGGGTCGCTAGTACCTGGTCAGAATTCAGAGGCAGTGGACCCTCCTGGTGAGCTAAGGCCTTGGTCACTATTGGTTGCAGGATCCAGACAAAAGTTTACTTAACCAGACAAAATTGGGATGGAAATAGATTTCACATGATAGTACAGAATCAGACAGAAGGTAAAATACATAAATGGGCAGATCCTTACTATTATCACTGTTCCATCAGGCTTGCGTAGTTCAATGTTATCGCGCACAGGAGGTGGGTTGCCTGTTGCTATGCAGGTAACTACAGTCTGGGAGCCTAGGTTAAACTCCAAGTGAGACACCAAGTTGATGATCTGGGGTATACGGTCTTGGCAGAAAATACCATAATAAAGTTAAATCATTACAGTTGTACTAAGAAAGCTTTTTAACATACTTCATGATATTGATCCACTCTCTTCCATTCACCTCTAATGACAGGTATTGGAGATATACTTGTTATGATTTAATATAATGTATGAATTATTACTTTTATTTTATATGTAAACCAACTATATATTATTTTATATTTTATGTTATATGTAATATAAATTATTTTATATTTTATTTTGTATGTAAACCAACTAGAGTCCACTAGGATTATGAAAATGGATAAAACGCATGCATGCATGAATAAATAAACAAATAAAATAACTACCAAGCTTGGTGATAGCACCTAACTAACCTTGACTGATATTAAAAAGCAGCAGATTTGGATCTAGTTAGTACTTGGATAAGAAACACTAGAAAATTCCAGGGCTAGACTTGGAAGTTGAAAACACATCCCAGAAGAAATAAGTGGAAAACATTTCCATACAGTTACCAGAAAATTTCATGGATAGGTCCATGAAATCACTTGGAGGCAAGCTTGATATAAAAGGGAGATGTTTTATATTCAATAAACAGTGTACCCTATGCGTACTTGTGTGAGGATGGCTCTACCTGCCTCTCACCAAGATCATAAAACATTCATTAGTATCTCCTACCAGGAGTGTATGCCATGCTATTCATAAACAAGTGCCTTTCTAGAAGTGGGGAGGGAGAACTGACAAGTATTAAGCAGAGGCAGGTAAGAACTAACCGTTTAGGAAAGCTGTTATTTAGAAAAGAGATTGCTGCTTGGGAGAGTATCAAAAAGGCCTACTGGAGATGGCTGGAGAGGGGAAAAAGGAAGGAAAGGAGAAGAAAACCAGAAGTCAGAGAGCCCATAGAACAGTCCATCAAGAGTGATGACAGCCAGAGAAAGAGGGAGAAGCCACTCTGTGGAATCCATGAGGGCTGGAAGAAGGCTGGCAAAATTGATTCAGGCATTCACTTAGAGGAAAATTTCCACCAAAGCCACTGGCAGAAGAGTGAGGTCTGAGAGAGAGGAATGGGGTCATCTCAACAGGAGAAGATGAGTGACAGCTGTACCTATTGAGAGAAACCAAACACACACCCAGGTGCTTCCTGAAAGAAGCAAAACAAGTGATTCTGGGGAAATTAAGAGGGAGCAGGGAGGAAGGGAGAGAGAGAAGATGCAGTAAAAGTAATAGAAATCTAAGAGTTAGGCTGTAAAGCAAAATGAGTCAAGAAAGTCTTAACAACAGATAGATAATCAATGAGGAGTGAGAACAGGATGGGTGAAATGAGCTTACAGTCTGAGTGGAGAAAGTTTCAAGGCTAAAAGTGGATGTGTAACTATAAGAAATTAAGTTAAAATAACAAATCAACAATATAAAAGGATTTGAAGTGACACAAATAAGAAAACACTCTTTTTAGTATGTGAACATCTTGTATATATTGTATATAATTGTATACAATTATTTTTTTGTACTAAAAACCTGATCTCCTGCCTGACTGCCACCATCATTTATAAAAGAACCTACCAGGGGATGGTAGCCATGATAATGTGATGGTAGTCATGTTCATGTGATCAAACCTCACACTTTCTTATGTGCATGGGTGCCATCTTGACTTTTTTTTTTACACCCCACCCCCACCCTTCCCCAGAACCTCCAATAGTACTCCATGTCTGGAAGATCTCAAATATCATTCCCGTTCCCATCACTATTGCTTTACCTGACTTTTCACAATGCTGTCCATGCCAACCAGATGAACAGATACAACCGCTGAATCGATTGCAGGTGCCTCCATTCTGGCAGTTACACTCCAGGGTACAGTCAGGACCATATTTGCTGGGAGAACAAGCTGTGGGAGAGCAGAGGAATTGAGACCTCAACAACTTTACCCATTTTAAAGATGGAGTTCATTGGTCAAGGATAATGTGACAGATTGCATTTGTTTTAGTTAGAGCATTTATGAATCTTTCTCTTTCTGCTGGATATACAGATACATGAGTGTGTTTTCTATAAATAATCTTTGAAAGGACATTTTTAGTTTCCTAGCCAGAATTTTTCCATGCTGCAGAACACAGTGAGGAATGACTTTTTCTTATTTTAAACTGTTATACTGTTATAGAAGCTTATCAATATGTATATGTTGCTGGGAAGAGGAAGGTGTCAACTTTATCAATATAGAATTCCTTCACTATTGCTTTCTACTCTCTGGTGAAACTGATACGTTCAGGGGAAATCCTTGTCAATTCCTTTTACAGGGTATGGAGAACTTCCCAAGACTGGGAGAAATACTGGTTGCATACAGGTAGTTCTTGCTTGACAACCACTTGTTCAGTAACCGTTCAAAGTTATGGTGGCACTGAACAAGTGGCATTTATGACTGGTCCTCGTACTTGCAGCCATTGCAGCATCCCTGCAGTCACGTGATCGTGATCTGGATGCTTGGCGACTGGCTTGCAATTACAACATCACAGTGTCCTGCAGTCATGTGATTGCCATTTGCAACCTTCACTGCTGGCTTTTGACAAGCAAAGTCAATGGGGAAGCTGGCAGGAGGTTGCAAATGGCGACCATGTGAGGTTGCACTTAGCGACAGTGCAAGATTTGCTTAACAAAAGCCATCAGAAGTGCCAGAACTGCCACTACTAAGCAGCACAATCATGTGATGTGGTGCTTTACAACTGCGTCGCTTAGCGACAGAAATTCCGGTCCCAATTACTATAGTTAAGTGAAGATTACCTGCATACACAGAGAAAATGTCTCCCTCTCACTCAGGAGTAAGAAGAGGAATTATTTTTTAAAAGTGACATATATGCTATCAAACACATAACATTTTAAAATCAAAATAAAAAACCATGACAATGCTTTCATTACCCTGATCTTGTTAGCTTCACCAAAGGTAGTTGATGTGGTTGTGAAGGACTGTGAAGGAAACTGTGATTGGTCAAGATCACTATCTGTGACTATCTAAATCTAGTCACAGATCGGTACAAGTCAGCTTCTAGAACTGACCAATGCAAAAGGTATTTACTAGGCACAAAGCTGAAAGGTGTCATAACATTTTTAGCAGGAAAGGCACAACTTTCTGATCATTGGCAATGTGTGAACTTGACATTTCAAATTGAAAGTGGTTTCAAGGAGGCAAAAAGTTGCATTCCACCATTATTTTGTGTTTCAGTCAGCAAAGAACAAAGCAAGCTCTACGGTATACAAAATATCATGCAATTTTTGGCCTTGGGGTAATGTGAGCCGGGGTGGGCATCCTAGTGCTTTCCAAATATTTTGGACTTCAGTTCCCATCAGCCCCAGTCTAATGGTGAAGGAGAAGGGATTCTGGAACTTGCAGTCCAAATCACTGGGAGTGTGCTAGGTTGCCTAACCCTGACTTGGAACACTTCCCTCAAAAGCAAACAACAATATAGGAGAGACGTTTGCTGAGGAATGAGAAAATCTAGCATTAGAAAGAGGAGGGCACAGACAGGACAGGGTTACTTCTGAAACTTTTTTTCACCCAGTGGAACTTCCTGCTTACAAGTATCTTTCTTTTTCTGTCTGTATGTTGGGGCCAAGCAGGAGAGAAACTATTCTGAAGAAACAAAGGGAGGAAGCTACTCTCTCCTGGCTATGAGCCAAGTACAGCCCCAACAGAGAAAGCAACCAAAGCTGGATAAAACGTATGTACCACCATGTGTCTGAGATGAAGGAGAAACTGTTGTACTTCTTTTCCATACACCGATTTTCCAGGAAACATGTGATTGTTCTGTTGATGGTGACAATGAAACCAGCAGTTTACATACATTAAGTATAACAGCAACCACCCTTGTTGCACCTCTTTTGTTTTTGTCAGATATGGTATAATTCTTGTTTTCTCCTGATTCACTCGAGTTAGAATGAGTTTATTATAAAAATGATCTTCATAAAGAATGTTTTACCTGAATTCTCCCTTAGCTTGCTGAGAAAAGCAAATTTTAATATCTGAACTTTTGTCTATAAGTGGTAAAATATTAGTTTTCCATAAGATTTCTACATATTATTCTCAAAGCATTTCAAATAATGGGTTCTTTATCAAGTGGGACTCTAACAAACTGGGTGCCATTAATCCGGATGCTATTTAGTAATTTAATAAAACGGAAAAGGGTAAGGAACAACCTTTGATTTTTTTATTGATTCCCCTGGATAAAAAACCCTATAGGTCAAAATCCACTGGGAATAATACAGTGAAGAAATAAGTACAGCAGTCGTTTTATTTGGGAGTTTTTGTGTGGTGGTTCAGTGCTTCCATTTTGCCTTTTGAAAAGTAGGTCAGCTCTTGCCTTTCCTTCCTCATTCCATCCATTTGATTATGTTTACTACCCCAGTAAGTATAGTAGTATCACAATGCTGGGACAAATCAACTACAAGCAGACATACCTGAATTGCATTGGAGACCGCTCCACCCAGCAGCACAGGAACAGCCGTACGGGTCAGGCAGACAGAAGGATAACCCTTTGCAGCCCTGCTCACTAGAACACCTCTCTTGGCAATTTCGTCCAAACCAGCCTTCCCTACATGCTGCAAAAGCAAGAAGAGAGAGCTGCGTTCACTCCAGCAATCAGTGACTCATGCACTATTTGTATATGGTATTCCTGTTCCCAAAAATCCTAGAACTAATCTCACAATTATCCCTTTGCTCACAGGATGCTCATTAATCCCTCTGCAGAGCTTCAGGTAGGCTAAAAATTGTGTGATTTTCTACCTATACCTCACAGTTGAAAAAGGCATGTGTAAGTTTGAGTAAGTCTGTAGTAACCTCTATAGGATGCCAGACCATGGGCATGGAATTGGGATCCTGCCATTAGGTTAAAGCCAGTGGGATGCTGCCATTTGGGGCCTTGCTTTCTCTCCCTGGCTTTGTAAAAGATTAAAAAAAAACAAAAAACCCTAGAGATGAATGACTTCCAACATCTGCATCCATGCAGTTTCCTTGGCAGAGTTATAGAAGTGGTTTGCCATTCCTTCTTCTGGGATGATGATGATGATGTTGATGATTTCTCAATCTAGTCTACAGCACTGGAACTCTCTGGTGCTCTTCCATCCAAGTATTAAACAGATCTCTCTCTGCTTAGCTTCAGCCAAGGGTATCAAGATGTTGCCACCTACGGAGGATTTGAGCCCATCTCCAAGGTTGCAAGGTTAGCCAGATGTTGCCACCTATGGAGGCTGTGTGCCAATTCCAATGTTTCAACTAGGATTTCAAGGAAGCTTTTTAAAAGCCCAAATGTTTTTAACCCTACCCTCAGTGTGCACTATAATCCACTGAACTTGCTATCCATTCTCAGTAATTGTTTTGAAACGTTTATTACAACAGGTGAAAGCTCTTTAAGCAGCTTAATTGCTATGGATGTGATTCTGTTTTGGATGGTGCTTCCTCTTGGGACACAGCAATTCTCCTTGAATCACCCCTATTCAGAAATAAGTGTTTGGAAAATGCTGCCTTTGGTGTGTAGGAGTGTATTTTGTCAAATCCCTATTGCCATGTAGTGGGGTAGGATAAAGCAGAGAACTAACAAAGTGAGGCAGAAAGCAAAAGGTCAGAAAAATAGGAAGTCAGAAAGACAGAAACAAAGGTAGTAGAAAGAAATGGATTAGTGAGGTATGATGAAATGGGTTCTGGCCTGGTTTCCTTTTAGCTTTGCCTTTCCACAACAGCTTTCGCTTGAAGGAGTGTGCCTTTGGGATGGGGCGCACTCATGCCATTAGCCCATATAACCAGCCTGCAAGCCCTAGGCAGATCCTACGGGCCTTCTTAATGCAGGGCATTAAACACAGGTTTATTGCCATTTAAGAAGAATGCTGAAGTAGTGTTTGAAAGTAGCCCAACTGACAGGCGTGGTGGGTGGGTTGCACTGTGAAGTGGCACAGAGAAACAGCTGGATCCTTCTCTCCCTGTTCACCTCATCATTCCCTCACTTCCACTCCTGATCCTAGTCTCCATGCCAGAGATTGGCTCAAAGATCTGATGAATATACTGGAGCCTGGTTTGAAAGATCCACTCACCTGTTGCCTGAAGACAAATGGCCACAGAAGAAGAGGTGAGGGGTTACACTTACAGCAGTCTAAAGTGCTAATAGGTGCCTGGTTGGCTCATTTTATCACTAGTGGATCACCTGAGTGCAATCCCAACAGAATAATTGGTGAAGAACATCAAGCTGTATCCACAGCAAAACTGCTGCAGTTTGTTGCCTGCTCAAGAGTTGTAACAGAACAGGTGAGGATGACTTTAAGACACCTCAGGTATGTGAACTGCAGATGAGATGATGGCAATGTGATAAGGACATGGCAGAAAAATGAGGCTGCTGGGGCAGTTTCGTGCCACAGCTAGGTGCAAGGTGGAAAGGGTCTCAGTCAACCATGTCCTCCAAAGAGGAAAAAGGGGTGTGTGTATCCTTCTCTTTGTGCTGCCAGCTCTGAAAACTCTCTTGCTGCTCATTTTATTCCCATCCTTCCTCCCCCATTGCAGTCACCCAGAAGGGCAAAACATGAGAAGGGATCAGGGCACTCTGTCTATGGTGTCATTGACTCAGATTTTCTACAACCTGCAAAATGTAAGCAAACAAACACTCAATTTTCTGGCCACTCATCAATTTTCCAGTGAGGGTCCTTCAAAGATGGCCACTTCCTATTTGACTGGGGCATTGGTCATCATACCCTGCTGATGCAGAAAGGGGTGGTTATCCTGATGTAATTGCAGATTGGGTCTGTTGTGTCACATTTTATACAAGGATGAGTAACCAGCGTGCTGTATGTGGGCTCCCATTCTTTTTTTGTATACCACGGAGCACCCATAAATCAAGTCTGGGCAGCAAATATGGATTTTGGACTTTCAGTGACACATTGTCATTTAGGGTGATTTAAAACTTGAAAACAGATGTGTAAATCCTGGTACATATATTTTTGGATTTCATATCCTCTTAAGCCTGAAAAAAGGGGGGACACAAAACTTTCCACCCTGGTTCCCACTATAGTATTTCATCACCAGATATATTCCCTGCAGCCCACTATAATAAAGACATTCCTGATTTCCAAGTTCAGTTCACGCTCAGGAGTATCCCTTTCCACCAGAACAATACATGTTGCTTCTAACCTTTTTCACAGCGGGTGCCCATGAAACCTGGTGGACAGATGCATTCTCCCACAATGTGATGGCAAATGCCTCCATTCAGGCAATCAGGACAGTCTTTGTCACAAAATGAGCCCCATTTCTTGGCTGCACAACCTGGAGAGACAAGAATGATGAGAAGAAGAATTTCAAGGCAGCACCAGGGAGGAAAGATGATAGCAGAGTCACTCACAACTTTCAAGTGTAATTTCATACACTGTGTGCACTATCTCTGGCAACAACCACAGGAAATGACTTGTGTGTTAAACAGGCATCACTGAAAAAGCCTTCAGATCAGTCTAACAATAATTTTCACTCAAATTTCTTTACATCATTGTTTCCTAAATGAATGTCCTTCATTGGCCATGCTGTTTGGGAATGGTAGGTATATTCCCAGCATATCTGGAGTACATCACATGAGGGAAGGCAGTTTTGAGGTCACTTGTGAGTCATCAAACCATAAGATGCTGAGTGATAAGTGTGTTCATCTATGAATTGCATATATATCATAACCAGATAGTGGATTAGATATTAGACTGCTACTCCCACCAATTGCTTTGATAAACCTTACAAAAAACATATTATGGTGATCACATTCGGCATTGCCCTACTTGATTTTATTAACAACTACTTGAGGCGGATGGAGAAATTCTAAAAATAGTTATGCCATATTGTGCATTAAATAAAAATATGGCAAGGTTTTCTTCCATCAAGTGCTGTCCAGATATATTGGACTTCAACTCCCACAATCACTGGTTGTAAAATATGATATCAGTCATTTCTGGAAAATTGTATGAGTTAAAATTTTCCTTACTTCTGTTGCACAGAAAAGGCAATTTCTGTAGATGAAGATCATCAAGCTATTAAAATGCTCTTTTCTGTGCAATTAGTAAAAAGAGAGAAGTATTGTTCTTTTTAGGAATACATATTTGAGAATAGCTTTTCTTAGTCTGGAGAACTTCTGATGTTTAGAACTGTGCAGTCATCATTCCTGACTAGTAGGAGAGATTGAGAGGTATAGTCCAAAGTATTTCTTGAGCACTAGGCTGGGGAATGCAGTTTTAAGAAGAGGCATTCTTGTATACTCACAAAAATGTGTTAGGAAGCATTAAATGGTTGCCTTAGGTATGCACAGTCTCACCTCGCACAATCAGTCTGAAGAAGGCACTTGACAAAGGACTGTCCTCTATAAATGTGGCACTGTAAATCCCACCATCAGCCATGGTAACAGATGATAAGATCAGAATGGACTGATTCTCCTTTAACTCACCCTGGTGCATGGTGTCATAGTAAGTCCCTGCACAAAAAAATAAGAAACAAGCAAGAAAAATAGAAAAGCCAAAGGCTGAAGTACCAAAAAGTACTACTGAATTAGAGATTCATATTTTGGAATATGACTTTCATGCAGAGGGGTGAGAGGGTCATGCAGCTGGATATTTGCTATTGGGAAAGAAGGTAGAACAGTAGGGAAACTAAGGAAGTCCAAGGCACCCATTTGGAAACCAATGGATAGATCCATATGTGGATGACCATTCAATGGATCAATGGTTCTTATAGCACAGAGGTTCTTAAAGTGTGGCCTGGGGATCCCTGAGGGTTCCTGAGACCCTTTCAAGGGGTCCATGAAGTCAAATAAATAACTATTTTAAAATTTCTCAGTTTTAATTCCTAATACAGTAAATATCAATAGGTATAACCCACATAAACCAAAACTCAATCTTTTTTAAGAATGTAAAAGGGTCCTGAGACTAAAATGTTTGAGAACCACTGGATGCCTAGCTTGTTGCACGTCAACAGGGAAAATCAAGCTTTAAGAATATTTTCCAAGAGAGAGTTGGATGTCTTGGAAAAAGGGCAGATCTTATCACAGACATGCAGTTAGATGAGGGAAGCACTTACCATTCCTTTTCCACCAGATATCTGTTTTCTTCCCATTCTTTATCCTGGCAACAAGTATGGCTGACTGGGAGAGGCTGATTGTGTGTGTCACTTTCTCTGGGATCAGGTTGGCTGCAAAGTTGGACAGAAATAGGGATTGGATTACAGAATAAACCCTGAAATATTTTCTCTTCCTTGTTCATTAGAGGAACATGGTCTTGATATCTGAAGAAGACCTCGGATAACTGTCATGGCACTTATGCCTGGCTTTTCTACCACCTACCAGAGCACATCCTGTTTGATGGCACATACAAATGACTAGATACATTGCCAGGAAGAGGGGAACATATAGAAAAAAATTATACACTTCACTAAGTGGGGTGAAGGTAGGGTACTCATTCTGGGAGACTTTTTCCCCACAGAGGAATGTGTTCTCTTGGGGAAGCTATTAATTTGGAGACTGAATGCTGTAGGGGTGGGCAGGACTGAAGCAAGAACCACCCAAGAGTGCTAAACCTGCGTAAGCCCATGTAAGACCTTACAAGCATTTCAAAAACCACCAGTCAGGCAACTGCCTCTGCAGAAGCCACATGTCCAGTTTCTTCTGCAGCCTGAGCTTAAATAGCCATGGAGGAGAGTGTCCAGCATCCTGGAATCATAGCATTGTGGAGCTGGAAAAGACTAGAAGGATCATCTAGTCCAACCCTCTGCAAGCTACATAGTCAATGAACTGATCCAGATCATATCCATACAAAAATTGGGTTGAGAAAAGAGGGAAAACACTACGTTAGAATTGGAAAGCTAAAGATGACAGCTAAAGCTGCTCAATGTAGGCTGGGGGTGAGATGAAGGAAATATCATGAGGTTATAGTATATAAAAAGGGCTAACGAGGCAAGCTTATGCCACAATGGAGGGGAGATAAGGACTGTAGGCATCCAGAACAAGCTACAATGAAATCAAAATGTTGACACCTGTGCCAAGATGTCATAATGTAAATGACATTATTATATAATTTGCGTCACGAGGTCTAATGAAAGTATGGGTGTTGCATCTTTTACATGATGACATCAAGATGCACTTCTACACACACACACACACATTTACACACATACCCTTTGTGGATATCTGTGGGAGGATGAACACTAAAGGTCTCCTGTTTTCTGTTTGGTTAGATAGGCTTAGCATTTTTATTAAGTGAGTTATAAAGGAAAATCATTTACTAGCCCGTGAAACCTAAATGTTTACCTAAATCCTGAGAAAAGAAGATAAAAATTGGCTAGAAGTGAGAATGCTATGAGGTTTCAAGTCCTTTATATGTAATACTTTGCTGGTTTCTCAAGGAATGTGAAATAACCAAAACCTATTGGTCTGTACAAAATTTAATTACCTCCAATGAAGTATTGAACTGTGTGAACTTTGTCATTGCCAGTTCCTACATGCTTTGTGAGATTCTGAGGATCTACTCAGATCAAATCAGTGTTTCTCATTATTGACTTAATATGAGCTTATATCATTTGCACAATGGTAAAAGACATTTGGGGACGCGGTGGCACAGCGGCTTAATGACGCTGAAAGTTGCCGGCCAGAAATGGTTGACG